CTCTCAAACCCACACCCAGGCCTTTATCCACTCTTGCTGGTTTTTCCTTCGGTAGAGAGCTGGAATCTGGCCATTGCTCCTGCACTGGAACCAGCCTGCCCCAAGCACACCACCCCCTCCCCTCTGCACCACCACCACCCGAAGGGTCTCCTTACTGCCTCTCTTGCCCTCCTGTGGTCTGTTCTCCAACCAGCAGCCAGAGGCTTCTGGGCCACAGGGTTCAGGCAGGAGGCTGCCACGTGGGCCGAGGAGATGGTGTAAGGGCCTTATTTACCCTTCTTCTTGGGTGCAGGTTGTTGGTGTGGCCACTTCTTGCTGCAGTTGACAGCGTGGGATGCAGGCGGGCAGCACTTGTTGCAGTTGTGCTTCCGGGCGAGCTGGTGCAGGGAAAGCTCGATGGTGCCACTCTGCAGACCAGGCACCAAGTGCAGCGTGGACTCTGTCTGGACAGTGTAGGCAGAGAGCGCAGGCCTCCCCCAGCTGTTTGAGGGACCAAATCAGACACTGCTGGTCAGGTGGGATGCCCTCCCTGTCTTGGATCCTAGCTTTGCATTCTCAGTGGTGTCACTGGACTCGACCTTGAGGGTGATGGTCTTGCCAATCAGGGTCTCACAAAGATCCGCATCTCTGGGTCTGCTGGGGAGGCTGCTCGGCCGCCTCCTTGAAAACAAAGAGGGCCAGAGTGGTCATTTTAAAAATCAAGTCGTCATGTCAGGCTTCTGCTCCAAGTTTTCCTTTGGTCTCCATCTAACTTGAAGAAAAGGCCAAAAGTCTAATGACAGTCCACAGCCCCCCTGTGATCTAGCTCATGGATGCCTCTGACTCATCTCCAGCCTCTTATGCCTCCACCCACCTCTTCCTTGCTCTCTGCTCCAGCCACACCGCCTCCCTGCTCTTCCTTAAATACTAAGAGTCCCCACCTCAGGACCTTTACACTTGCTGTTCTTTATGCCTGAGATATCTTCACTCAGACATTTGCATGGTTCAGTCCCTCACTTTTTTGAGATCACTACTCTAATGTCACCTTTTCTGAGAGGAGTATCTGACCTCCCACTCACCTGGATTTGTTGTTATCCAGAGCCTTCTTGCTCCCTGATTTAGCCACGACAGGCTAAATAATGCTGTGGTAACGGATCCTGAGATGCAGTGGCTTATAACATGAAGGGTTATCCAGTGCTATACTGAGCCAGCTTTGCTGGCTCAAGAGAGCCAGTCGTTAAATTTCCAGGAAATATGTGAGCCACTCGTGAGGCATAGTCATTATAAAAAGTTAAATTAAATGAACTTACCACGAAAATTATATTCAAAATGAAGACAACAAATACTCAAAATGTATCACTTGTTTTACTGCATTTTACTATTTATGTATATTAGTCTGTTATTACTACATATTACGGTTATCTCTGTGCTTGAGGTTATTTACATCTCTTTCATCTGTGTGGTGGAAAATACTATATAATGATGGGCTGCTGGGCCTCTCGACCTAACTTCCCTTCCAGTGACACATTGAAATCAGCCATCCTAACAATATTTATATACTTCTGAAATCAGTAAATGCTACCAATCAGGGTTTGATTTTTATTTGGTTTTTTTTTTTTTTTGGTGTATGTCTAGACTTAAGAAAGCCATAGGGAAGGGATTTATGATGCAGATTAAATTGAAAAACGTGCCACGACTGCAGCCATTACACGGTGAAAGAGTGAGGCAGTATTCCAGTGTTCAGAATCTTCCATCTGACTTGGCAGAGGTCGCTCACACCATTGTGAGTGAAGTTCTGACACATAGGTCTTCATTGTTTCACTTTCATCTTACTAGTTAACATAAATGAATATATTAGCAACATTTATGTTGGAACTGAACTCATTTATCAGTTGCCACCATGGGTTAATTATGAATGCAAGACTTCAGCAAAAATGAACCAAAGTATTCTGTGAATTTCAACTGGATATATGGAGTCTCAATATAGAGTACTGTATATTTTATTTGCAAATTACATTCTTTATATCAATGAAGTTTATAATAAATACATGCACATACACATATGCACCCCCACTTCTACATATATACATTCCCCCTTCTGTTCCCCCCTGGAGAGCTGGTTGTTAAAGTTACCAGACCACCAGTGGGTTTATCCCACACGCACCCTCGGGTCCATCATGAGTCACCTGTCCACATCGCTCACTGTGGGCCCAGGTGATGGCACTTCCACCACCTGCTGCTTTGCTGATTGCTGTGTCAGGGAAGGGGGCCATATAGTAAGATACACTGGCTGTCACAGGCTCTCCTAGAAGTGAAATGCACTACGCTGCTCATATTCCATTGACCACAGCAAGCCACATGGTCATGCACACCCACTCCCTTGAAGTGATCAAAGAAGTATAATCCTATCATGTGGCCAGAAAGAGAAAGAGGACAACTGGGGTACTGGTGAACAGGCCTAATGACCATCACAACAAAGCATTTAGGTGCTTTTTATCTGCCCCACCCCCACACTGGAATGAATGATTCATGAGAGTGAGCTGTGTTGTTTGCTGCTATATCCCGAGCACCTTGGAGATGCTCAATAAATACTGAGTGATTCTGAGAGACTGGCCTGAAGGCAGAAGGCTCTGGAAGCAAGCCTTTATGGATTAATAAAGACAGTTATCATTGTATGATTTCCCCAAATCTTGATAAGCATTGTGTTTTTATCACCTCCCTCCCTCCATGTAGCTGGAAATTTGTGGCACAGAAAATCACATAGACGCATATGGCTCTGTGCCATTAGAAAATGTCCTGGCATCAGCAAAAGGGCCAGTCCTGGAAGGATGCAGACACCACCACAGGGAAGGCTCCACTACCCAGGCCATGAATAGGTAAGGCACATAGGACACAAAAGGAGGTGACACTCAATTGTATGAGCTTGTCAAAAGGGGAAACTGAGTCTCGGGGAGATTAAGGAACTCTTCCAAGGTCAAGGAAGTGGCAGAGCCAGGATTTGCATGAAATCTTTTTGAATCTGACATTGTTGGGGGCAGAGATGTTGATCATGTTCTATTGACCATGACTGTGAAAGCGGGGAGGGCGCCTAATAGGAACAGGACCATAGTTGCTTAATGATTATTCACCTTACTAACTGTAGATAAGAAATTTTTTTATCTACAGTTAGATAAGAAAAACAGCTGTAAAAAGATGAGACACCTTGGGGCCTGGATGGGTCCATTGCTCAGAAAAGAAAATGCATTTGGAGAACAGACAAAGGACAGGATGCACTTTGACTTGGTTGCTGTGCCCGGAGCCTG